AGGCCAGCACCCACAGATGGTGCTGTAGCTCTTCTCTGGACTCTGACGCCACTGTGGTCCCCTCCCTCACCTTTGTGAGAAGGCACTCCAGGAGGTTCGCTGCTTTTCACTTGCCACTGCAAACAGCTATCATGTGTCAACTCCATCCCTCTACTTCCATTCTGTCCTGTATCCCACACACTGTCTGGAACCAATAAAAGGTACACGGGGGAACACACTCTGTACAGACTTAAAAATCACATACATATGTAACCACAACAAAGATAAATCTAAAATGTAAAGTTATTTTTTTAAGAAGACACATGTACTTGTATGAGGCTATATATATATATATATATATATATATATATATTCCCCACTGGAAACAAATTGTATGCTAGCCTGTATTAGTTTGTAAGTGGTTTCTTCTAGGAGGCCCTGGCTCAAGGATCACATTCAAAATGGCACAAAAACCTGGGCTGGGTGATTTTGGCATTGCTATTGGTGTTTTTCATTTTGTTTTGGTCATTCAACTGCAATGGGAACTGTCTAGCCCCAAATGCCAGCTACTCCACACAGGTACAATCAGGGGCCGCTTTCAGTGATCAACTGAGGCTGAGTTAAGAGACCTAACCCTGCTGAACCTCAACATGAAATCTCTTTAGACCTGTGCAGCTCACCACAGCCAACTGGTTTCCCAAGGAACTCCATTCAGAGAGTGCCCCCGGGGAACAATCCTTTTATGTTCAGAGTAGACGTTAACAGCCGAGTAATTAAACACTGAAAGTAAGGGCTTATAATTAAAATGCTGACAAACCTGAACCAGAGTGGCACAAGTCGGCCGCTATAATGTTTTTACAATTCCTTTTTATACATAATGTATGATCCTTCTGCTCAAGTTTCCTCTATGTTCCTTGCCTGTGAAATCATTTACATTAATAAATAATTTATTACCATAACTCCTGAAGTAATTATGGGTTTTCATCCTTTTTTTTTTTTTTTTTTTTTCCCTAAGCATACGGATAGTCTTGTTCTTTGGCCACTGACTTGTATTTACAAGATTTTTCTTAGTGGCCTTTTGGGAATAATTGGTGTTGCCTTCGATTTCTCACACTTTCTGTGATTTCTAATCTCCTGGCCTGAGTGGTGAGAAAGGTGGAATGTGTGGTGTCTAATATCCTGACGAAATAGGGCTCATTTAATGGCTGTGATTAACCAAACGTAATGAATGGGGCCTGTGCTCACCCCACTCGCCTTGTTTTATTAAAAAGAAAAAAGAAAACAGAAAAGAAGCTGGCACATGTGTAACCCCAAGCAAGCATGAAGTAGCATCTTTTGAGGGTCCAAGGGTCCTAAGAGTTCATATGCAGCCCCTGCTTCACTGAACCCAGGACACCCTCCCACACTTCCTGAACCCGCCAGAAGTAGGTGTAAGGAACTGTGCTGCTCCCGGCCCAGATGGCAGGCTAGGAGCTGCCACTCAACGCATGTCATGAGTAGGTGCCTCTGCCGGAGAGAGCTTCCTGCATGGGAAATTCTGCCTTAGCACAGAAGTGGGTGGGGAAGATCTGGAGGTGAGAAAAGAACCTGATGTCTGCTAGAAGGAGCTGGCCTGGCAACCTCAGAAGGAGCCTTCAGCTGGGTACAAAGCCGGTGGACAGGGCTGGGCTCTGTTTTGTCTTGTGTCTCCAGTCCACACCTATCCCAGATTTGTTCTCTCCCTCACTTTAGAAAAGTATAAAAATACTTTGTATCAAGTTCCCAAATTGAGGAGGGGCACGAAGATAGGGAGGGGCCTGTATCCAGTCCACAATCACAAGAATGAGGTACTTTAAAAATTAAAACAACCCGCTGATTGTTTCTACTATGCTGGACTGTAAGTGGGCACCGAGGCAACTCAGCCACCCACAAAGGTAGCATTCTGGGAGGAAGCAGTAACCCAGCGCTGTTCCCCAAGCCCTGGGGCTCCCACTGGCTTTTCTTCAGAGCACCTAGGAAGCTCCCCACAGTGGTTCCCAGTGAGGACCCTGGAATGGGGTTAGGAGGGAAAACCATGAGTCACAGACCTTTGTCTTCAGGAGCCTGGGACTGGGTGGTAATTATGATAATCGAAATTTTATCTTTGCTCAGCATTGTCCAGCCCTGGAAGGGCCAAAAACACTCTTGAAAAGTCTGGCCAGCTCCTCAGGGTGTTCTCTTCCCTGCTATTGAAAAGTGGGCACACCCAAGATGAAATCTCCCTGCCTGGGGTACACTCCCAGAGTGCCACAGTGACCAAACAAGGCAAAGCCACAAACTTTGCCATTCTTGGAGTCAATGGGCTGAAGAGCTGATGGGAGCTACCAGCCCAACGCACAGGCAAGTAGGGAGGCCTCTGATTGCTGAGACCCCTGGCTCAGCAGCTACTGGAAAGGGACAGAAGGTGGGAGCGCTTCCTGCCCACAGGAGCTATGCTTTGCTGGAAGAAGAGATCAAGGAATGGGAAAATGGATTCCACCGCTCAATGGCTCCACTGGCCTCCCAAGTCTTGGCACATGGAATTTACTATCTATGGCTCCTGCTCCTCCATTAGACATAAAGTTCCTTGTGGGTTGAGTCAGGGTCCCATTCATTCTGCCCAGCATTAAGTACCTAGAACAAGCTAAAGGCTCAATGAAAATCTGAGGACAAGCCCCTGAAACCACTTGTGAATGAAAGCCCTGGTAACACATGTCACATGGGGGGTGGATCTCTCAAATCAAGGAAAGCTGAGCAGCAGGCAGATGAGGGGCACGCAGCTAGAGAAGCAGAGTGCACAGGCATGCTGCTGTTCCAACATCTAAGATGCTACCCCTTGCATCTCCTACAGCTGAGTGGCAGGACTTCAGCAGAAATGTGAGCCAATAGGAAGCCAGTAAGGCTGGGATAGGGCTTCCAGAAGAGTCAAGCTGTAAACAGTTTGGTACTTCCCCCAATCCCTGTGCTACCCTGAACAGAAAGCAGGCTGTGTGCCCCACACGCTCAGCCAGCCAAATTGTCCTGGACAACCTGGGCTGCTGATCACCCTCCTCCTTCCCCAGGCCCCTTCTACTCTGGCCCCATGGGCAACTCTGTCATTTGTACCCACCCCAAAGGAAGCTGCTGTGGCCTCTTTTGAGAAACAGTATCTCTGGCTGAGGTCTCATCCCTCTTTGCAACTATTTCTGTGGTGTGCTCTCCTGTGCCGATCTTTGTCACAAATGTTCTACCACACAGTTCTCACAACAAGCACGCAACTGCTATGCTGCAGATGAGAAAACGGAGGCTCTAATGAGGATCTTGTCACAGACCAGACACGTTAGAATCAGCTTTACTATACAGAGCCACAGTGGAAGGCCACCATCCTCATGACACAGGTTCCTGGTGTGACTCTGTGGGAGCTAAGTCTGGGTTCACTGGGCATGACACTCCCATGACAAAGCAAGACAGCTCAGTTGAGAACCTGTTTCAGGATGCAGAAAGTGCAGCAGCCTTCTACGCCATGATATTGGTGGTGGTGATAGAGGATGAAAGCCATTAACCACCAGAGAAATATACAGTCATGTGAGGATATGCCTTAGAAAGGTGTTAGCCAGGTGACTTCCCTGTTTCGATGTCCTCTAGGAAGCAGTATCAAAAAAGACATTCAACTTTTCCTGTACTATAGCATGTACTGAAGAGAAAACAATTGTCCTCTGCCACCTGGTCTAATTTTATTTCCTAAGAGATCTTCCAGAGAGTCCCTGGCCTCAGTTTCCCCTAGTATGAATAAGTACCTGGCTGGCTCTGAAGTTGCAAACAATGTACGTGGCAGTGTCAACAAGATGGACTCAGGTCCCCTGTGTACTCACGGACTTATCTATGGGAAGTGGCTTGAAATTAGAAAAAGAGAAACTACTATACACAGAGAAAGGAGGGTGATGGCAACCTCATACGGATCTGTAAGGTACTGAGTCTGAAATCCCACTACCGCTATCCCATCACTGAGGGCTCATCTCCGATTCAACATTGTCATCATAGAATCCATCTGCTTAAAGCCCCCCCCACACACACACAAAAATGCATGTAACCAATACAACCATCCTGTCTTCCCTTAACAAGAAACCGCATCATGTGTGCACAGAAACATGAGACCAAGAAGCTAATTGGACAGAATATTTGCCATATAAACCAAGAGTCTTAAAAAGGTTCCTGATTTCTGTTCTCTTTAGTTCCTTTCTGGGACTATCCTAAGAAATGAACAAAAGACAAAAACTCAGACTGAGAGAACCCCTGGGCATTACGACTACAAATTTAACAGCCCCTTTACTCCATGACTGTAAGAATCACATCACCTGGAGCTAGAGAGATGGCTCAGTGGTTAAGAGCACTGACTGCTCTTCCAGAGGACCTGGGTTCAATTCCCAACACCTGCATGGCAGTTTACAACTGTCTGTAACTTCAGTTCCAGGAGGATCTAACACATCTTCACACCAATGAACATAAAATAAATTTAAATAATAATAATAAAGAATCACATCACCCAGGATATTTTAGTGCACCCACACAGTACAGTACTATACAGCATTAAGATGCAGGACCCGAGCCATTTGCATGATGTAGGAATTGCTGAGTGCAAAACCAAACACAGTTTATATAATTATATATTCATGATGGACTTGGCTATGTGAAATATGCAAAACACACGCGTGCACGTGCATGCACACATACATACAAAATATCACTGAGAACCAGAACTTAATGGATTTTTATTTCCTATCCTATGGTATATTTTCTGGCTAGAAAAAAAAAATGACCACAAATTACTTAATAATCAGCTAGAACTCAGTGCTGGAACTAGAAACAGTGCCTGTAAGCCACACGTCAGTGCCCTCACCCTCACGCCCAGCACGCTGTTGGTCCACCCGAGCCCCACGGGGGACTGAAATAGTTGAAATACAGAAGAGAGTCTCTCCAGGCCTACTCTGGAGTCTCACCTGGCTGGAAGGACTAGAAGAGGATGCCCAGGCTGTGTAGCTACTCACCCATAATTCCACAGGACAGAAGGGTAGGTCCTTGACTCATCTTCTTTGGCGTGTGCTGAAAACAACCAGAAGAGCTATTCAGTCTTCACATCATCAGAAGCACGTTCGCACATGACTCAGATGAGCTCACGACACTTTGGGCTCCTCCTGAAGCCACAGTTACAGGGGGGTCTGCCCTTTGCCAGTACCAGGTTGAGACAACAACCGCACAGAACTGAGCCTGGACTTTGCCCCAAGGCCTAGAGTTACAGACCAAGCAGGGTAATGGGCTTGAGCCCCACAAAACACCTTGTGGAACTCTCTCCACGGAGGGATATGGGAGTGGTTTGATGCAAAGACAGAATTTACTGGGAGCTGGAAAGATATCTGCAGAGGTGGCCTCCTAGGATCGAGGAGCAATGGACCCTGTCCTACTCCCTGGTAGCTCCCCAGGGGATACAGAGACTGCATCCTCCACTACCCAGAAGGGAATGCTGGCGATGCCCCACAGCTGCTCATGGCTACAGCGAAGCTGCCAGTCATTCTCCCTGAAGCATAAGACACTCACTGGTTCGATCAGGTCTCAACCTGAGAGTTGTGGTTTTCAACTCCTGGGCACTGTGTACCACTGGGCTTCCCCCTCCACTGTGAACATTTTCTGTCTTCCCTCACAATCCACACCTACCTCAGCCAAATACCAGATGAAAAAGGAGCTGAGAATGTACGGCCACACAGCAAGTTGAGCACAAAATATTCTGGGAGGTCTTGTGCTGTCTGGCATCCAAGTCAAGTGGCCTACTCAGAAAGTGAGTGAGGAGCAGACATCCCAGTCAGGACCCTCAAGAAGGTCTGCCTCAGGCATTGCAGAGACCGCCGGCTACCTCACTCCCTCAGGTTGTTACAGTATACTCAGGTACAGGAACTGACAGCTATCTGTATTCAGGCTGTGCTAGGGGTTGATCGTGCAATGGGAAATAAAGTTCTCAGCCTAGTAAGCAGGGTTCAAGCTTCTGAGCGGAGCTCCAGTCCCCTACCACATGACAGAAAAAGGCAGGGTTTCTAGGGTGAGAAGTGGGTGGAAGCTTGGGCTCTGGCTCATGAAGTCCCAGGAGGAGGGTGGGGCAGACTAGCAACACCTGGCCCACCCAGATAAGGTGGCAGGCGCCTGGCACCAGCTTCTTCACCCCATCCCCAGTGCCCAATTTGGGAACCTTTGCTCTTGGTCAGCAGGGCATTTATCCCATAGGGGTTTAAAGGGCAGGATGGTCCTTCCCAGACTGAGAATATAGAAAAGAAGAAAGGCTCACACCTCAAAGAGGACACAGTCATACACATAACTCATTCCATTACATTCCATTGAAGGTGGGGGTGCAGAGCATGTGTGTTAAGGTGGGTAGAGATCAGAGCTAGTTTCCAGAGGAACAGCTGAGCTGCTGTTGACAGACAGGAAAGCCATTGATGATAGCCAGCCCCTTTCCAGGCCTCTTCTTGTCTTAAAACAATCCTTAACGTCACCAGGCCAGGTCACCCTCTGGTATATAACTGTCTATAGCCACCAACTGAAATATCTAGAAAGAGTTAAAAAAAAAAAAAAAAAAAAAAAAAAAAGCTGTTCCTGCCTCCCTCTCAACTAACTTGGCTAGTGCTGCAGCATGTGCAGCTGAAAGCCACACCAAAGTCACCCAATAGAGGACAGGTGACAAACATAGGAGAGACTGCCATCAAGGCTGCACCACCCACACAACCAAGTGCAGAAGTGTACAGAACCCTTATTCTCTGGGGAAGGGTTCTGAGAAGGAACGGGATTGCCTCCTGCAGGGTCCCTTGCCTGCCAAGGGAAACAAGGTCTCAATGCTCATGGGGTAGCCAGGCTCAAGGACAACATCCACTTGGATAGGTCTTAGTCAGCTCTACCCAGAGAACCCATGGCCAGTGTCAACCAGATGGGCTAGGAGCCCACTGAAGCTATACCAAGACAGGGACCACAGAAAGCTGAGAGAACAGGAAGGCTGGCCCAGTGAGTGTGCACTACTGGCACAGGTGTCACAAAGGAGGGCTTGGGGCTTCACATGCACAAGCAGGAAGCAGAGCGCAGCCGCCTGCACTTTGTCCGTAGGGGAGTGCACTGAGTTGGGAGTGCAGGGCCAGTGGAGTACCTGCTCATAAAACCCTGTCTCACCCTGGCCCTGACCTTTCAGGGCCCAATCCACACACTCTTCTATAGCCTGTGAGTTTTCCTCATTGACTCCAGTGGCATTCATTTTGTTTGAGCTGAATGTAGATGGTCCCTGTCAAATGAAGAACCCTGGTGCCAGAGATGGCTCAATTCTAGCACCAAATTGGCTTACAACCATCTATAACTCTACTCCCAAGGAATCAATCTCACACTTGCTTCTGGCCTCCATGGGCACTAGGCATGTACATGATGTATAAACATATATGCTGGCAAAATATCTATGTACATAAAATGAAAGGAAGGAGAGAGAGAGAGAGAGAGAGAGAGAGAGAGAGAGAGGAAGGAAGGAAGGAAGGAAGGAAGGAAGGAAGGAAGGAAGGAAGGAAGGAAAGAAGGAAGAGGAACCTTGATTGGCTTCACACAGGATCTCAAGCTAGGACCAGGGCCCCGTCTCACTTTCTGAGCCCTACTTCTGAAGTGAAGCAGAACTTCATAAGCACCAGAACATCTCATCCTTAGGTTCCCAGGGTCGAAGGGCCAAGCACACCCTGACCCCTGGCAAAATCCAGGAGTTTCTGGCTCCAAGCTGACACAAGCCTTCCTATTCCTAGTCTACCAAGAACACAATAAAATTCCCACTGGCACATGCCATTCCTGCAGCCAAGCCAGGCTTCTAACTCTTCAGATCCTCTATTCCCAGAGCAGGAAGAAAGGATAAGCAAATTCCCGTGCCAAGTCAAGATCCAGCAGCCCCAAAGGGACTCTACTGTGAGGCCCCCCCAAGACTTCCGGAATCTGCAAAAGAGTGTGCTCAACTGCAGGCTGAGGTCTGCAGGGAAGGAAGCCGAGAGCATGTTTCCTCTTTGCACGCCTCCCTCTTTGTGCCTGAACCCATCAGGGCCCAGTCTCAGTGAGACAATTCACGTCACAAGTCTTTGGAATCGGGTCCTGGTAGGAAAGACAAAAGCTGGAAATCAAATTGAGGCTTCAGGGACATCTGTCTGACTAAAGAAGGCCCTGACTTCAATAAAGACCCAATTAAGGCTCCAAAGGAGAAGCTAGCAAACACAGACAATACCAGGCCTTACCCATGGCTTTCACAACTGTCTTTAAAGATTACTGTCTAAAGCCACTGAGCCACTTGTTCCTTTTGCTGACACTGTACACAGGGAGCCAATGTGAAGGGGAGATGCTCATAACACATACTGAGAAGAGGCCCAGTATCATGGCTGCCTCAAATACAACTCAGTAAGACCGAGACAGCAGGAAGCAGAGAGGAACCCAGGACCAACAAGAAGAAGAGAGGCTGAGAAGGGAACAGTGCAATAGAGGGAAGTGCTCAAAGATGCCAGTGAAGCCCTGTCTTCAAGGCTGACAGGGGCACAGGAGGCCCCAGGGTGCAAATGTCTACCCAGGGTAAAACCCGCCAGACTTCAGCTCATGTTTATGGGAGCCAGAGACTCTGGTTGGAGCTGTTGAGGCCAAAGAGCCAGGTCGGCCTAACAAGAAATATGAGAACGCCCTGTGCCTAGATAGCTGGACACAAGGCCTAATGTAGCTACCAACTTCAGAATGGGCAAATGCCTTAGCTCTAGCACTCTAATGTGGCAGTTCAAGAGGCAGTGCCTCTTCTACTACTGACTGTGCATGGTTTGGGGACAAGTAAGCAGTCTACAGCTATATACTGTCCTCTGCCCAGAGCAGCCACTAGCCTGTCTCCTCTGGTCTCCAGGATTTAGAGTAGGCTGGGAGAGAAAGTTGTTCTGGCCGAAGGAGGTGGTTACTTTGGAAACAAGAGCAGGCTCTGGGCCTGCATGTAGGCGAATGGGCAGGAGCCGGGGGAGTTCAGTGCTCCAGGGTCAAACATCTGGGCTACTTTCCAGTGACAGTGGCTAATGTTAGAACATGAGAAGGAAAAACCCTTTGGGCAGACTAAGGAAAGAGGACCAGGAATGGCCATGGCCGCCAAGGAAGGCTATGAGCATAGCCATTACCCATACCTATCACTCCCAGAGAGGTGGGGTCCTGAGCCCAGAAGGAACATGCTAAGCACTTCTCAGTTCTTGTTCTTTTTCCTGCACCTTCCTTGGGAGTAGGAACAGCCACCTTTGCCGCCAGAATTAGGGTTCTGCTGTTTTGTTTCGAGACAGGTTCTTAAGTTGTTCGGGCTAGGCTCCAGCTAGCTATGTAGCAAAAGCTGCCTCCTACTTCCACCTCCCAAGTACTGCAATTACAGGTGCGTGCCACCAGTCTCTATACAGGGAATGAGAGGGTGACTGTGAAAAGGCAGGGACCACCACAGCTCTTCTTGTTCCTCACAAGGACACAGGATAGAGGCTGGCAGAGCTCCAGGGCCCCCCTGGAGGGTCTAAGGAACCTTCCGCTTACAGTATCTCAGACTTTCCCTCTAGTGACTAGGAGAAGCCCAAGGGCCATATAGCCACACCTCAGAAAGCTGCTCTTGCCATCTCAAAGGCTCTCAGCCTCCCTAGAATCCTGTTTCCTTTTGAAATCTTAACCTTTGCTTTTGTTATCTTCTTGGTCTAATTATAAAACAAAAGAGAAACTGTTTCCCACCTTCTGTGTTAACTTGTGGCAGTTTGTGTGAGGATGATGTTACCAGTGTTGCATGTGAAGCAGGACTCCAGCAACTCCTTTATTGCTCACTGAGAGAACCGACTGACCTCAGGGGCTGTCTCAGGGAGGTCACCACTAACTAGACTGACACTATTTGGATCTTCGGGTACTTAGAGAACTCTTCTCCCTGAGGTGGCCACGGCCTTCAGAAGTGTGGCCAGTACAGAAACAATTCTCTGAGCCACAGTTCTCATCTGTCTAAGGGGCAGAGATGGATACACCTTTGCCCTTGCCTGACCACCTTCCATGGTAACCTCCACCACACCTTCTGTGGCCCACACTCTCCTTGAACCAGGCCCAGAATGCAACCAACAGTCAGTATGAGAGATGTCAACAAACTCACAGACAAAAACTCTCCAAAGAGGACACCCCTCACCATTGACCTGCCATCTGGAGCAGAGGGGAGGAGACAGATGGTTCTGGGCCTAGATAGGCCAACAGCAAAGAACAGAAGCAAGAGAGCTACTCCCTGGAAGGGGAGCAGAGGTTGGAAGACACAGCCTCGGCCTGGGAGCAAGAGGGCGGGATGAGGGGATGAGTATGCCCCCACGCACAAGACCACATTCCTCAGCTGGGGCTCAGGAAGGGCTGCTCCAATGACCCTGGACCCTGGTGCTGGGAACCAACTCTAACCAACTCTGTGGCTAGCCCCCCCCCCCCCAGCTAGTCCTACGCTGTCACTAGACAGGCACAGAGGCAGCTGTGGGAGTCAACAATACAGCTGAACCCTACCTAGAACCCTACCCTGGGGACCCCTGGACAGCCCCTCAGCCCAAGGCAACTCTAGGCACCACCTGCAGATCCTTCCCCAAAAGACAGTCAATACTAACAAAAAAGACAAGCATGACATAGACGCATGATCCCTCAGCTACAAATTGAACAGAGGGACCAAAACAACAAGGTCAGAAGCCGTGACAATGGACTCCTTTGCACTCATTCCAACTGAATACCTACTAAGCAATAGGCCCTGGTTCCATGAAATGCCTGGCATTCATTAAGTGTCTGTTCTAGCACAAGGAATCGGTCACTCAGTACACAAGATCCACAGATAACCTGTTAAAAAATGTTAAGAGCCAAAAAAGGGACATCATGTGGGGAAAGGAGACAGGAAGTATGGGGCAGGCAGGATTGAATTTTAGGCTGAGTGGCCACAGAAAGAAATAATCTCGTTACGGGAAGAGCTGTAGGCTATAGAAGAAGTCCAAGAGTCCTGAGGCAGGCTCACAGCTGGCATCTCTGTGCTTGAGGGGAGGCAGTTTTGGCTGACAGGAGTAAGTAGAAAGTTATAGTGCTTGTGAGGCAGGAAGCAGATGAGGGTTCTGAGCAGATGGACAGACTAGACTGATACTCTGCATGGCTGCTGGGTAGAGAAGAGATTTTAAGTCAGAAGCAGAGGCTGGGTTACCATTAAGAATCTACATGAGAGAGGCCAACAGCTAGGATGAGGGTGGCTGATGGTGGAGAATAATGAGAAGGGATCAAACTGAGGACACATGTTATATGCAGAGCTATGTATCCATCAACCAGGAACCTCAGCTGCTTCTCTCTGCCCTGTGTCTACAGTGCTGGGCTTCAGAGATAGGTGAACCAACACCAGCCTGAGGGAGAAGGCCTAAACACAGACCAACAAGTGGGGCTGGTGGATGGCAATGAGCTGAGTAGGTGGGCAAGCCACTGAGGCAGTCACTGCCCTACTGCAGGTCTCAGATTGCAACTACATCTTTGGAAAAGATTGGGCCCAGTGGTTGCAAAGCCACTTCTATTCAGCCTGCAAGGCCATACCCAGCACCCCAGTTCTGTGAGGCTCACCCTGATAAGTTTACAGCTCAGCCAGCCTCCTCAGAACACCCGAATCTCAACAGGGCTCTTGAAGGACCACTGCATACTGTCTGTTTGGTAGAGCCTTCCTCTAGACTGGGACTACTCTATAGACAAACAGGGCAAGGCTCAGCTCCAAGTCATGCTGATTCCTCAACTCTGTTGGCCTATGTCTGTCCATGGGACAGGCACTTGTGAAGGACCATGGACCACATGCAGGTCCTGGGCATTTCCCAAATTCACTGAAGCGAGGGGCTTCAGCCCACACAATAGTCACAAATGTGGTATTTGCCACCATGAGACAAGGAAAAGGAAGCCCACCAAAGTGCTGAATGTGAAGCCCACCACCGTTTGGTCAGAAGGCAAAGAACTGAGTGATCCCAGGAGGGTGGGGTGACAAGACAGAAGCCTACCATTGTTGAGTCAGGGCAGCTGCAGTGCCTATCACCACAGCCTGCCACCTTGCTGCCAAGCTATTCCTCCTTTCCTTCATCTACCACTCAACCCTTAGGTGGGGCTCTCACCCTGCACTGTCCTTATCTTGGCCCCCCTCTGACAGCCCTCATCCTGGAAGCTAGGTGGGGTGAAAGAAGGGCTGAAGCCCTTGCATGACCCTGCCCCCCCCCCCGCTCCACCCCCCTCCCAGGGAAGCAGCTCTGACCTGGGCCCAGCTGCTTTCTCCTTCTGAGGCACACCGTTCCTCTGCCACACAGCCCCAGCCTAGAACCTCTCACAGAGCTCTGCTTACTTCCAAGTTGTTAAGCCTGGGTGCCACATCCACAGCCACACCACAAACCCTCCCCGCACACCTGGCCACAAAAAAAAGGAGAAAGAAATGCAGCCCTTAAGGGCCCTCACCAGTTCAGGGATGAAGGTCCTGTGTGTTATGGAGTCAGCTCCCTGGATAATGAGGCTTCTCCTTAGGATCATCACCATGGTAAGGACCTCAGGCACTGGGCTGCATCCTAGGGTGGGGACAGGCCATCTTCAGGTGGGCAGACTTGATTAATAGTAACACTCAAGCATTCCAGGGAGTGATGTCATCAGAAACAGCTTCCCATCAATTGCTCAGTCTGGGGACAAGGTCCTCCAGGAATGTCCAAAAGTAGTCAACAACCTGGGGAGACAAAAGACAGCCAAAGGGGTTCAGGACTAGGAAAGTCTAGGATGCCAATAATATAGATCAGTCCCAATAGTGCAGGGGACCCCCATGGGGAAGAAACCACACCCTTACTAAAAACTGTGCACTCTGGGAGGTTATCAAGACCCAGAATCACTTTCTTAGATCACACACACATACCCACTCTTAGCAGTGTCTCGCTCTCCCCATAGTCACAACACTAGAAGCCTTTGTAGCTTTGTCCCTTTCCCCAGGGTGAACCAAACCAAGTGACCCATGAGCTAGTGCCTGGACCACCTTGGTACTACCATCCAAAGATTGCCACGTTGCCTCCCTGTCCACCAGGTCCCACCAAGCAAAGCAGAAATCGCACAGACTTCGGTGCACGTAAGAAAAGCAGTTCCTTACAAGGTGAGTTCCCCATCCCAACTCATCTATGGTTAAACCTTCAAAGAAAGTTACAAGGATATGAGGCTCTGAAGGTCATCATCAAAACCTAAAAAGTAATGGTAATGATAGCAATAAACAAATAGAAATGCAGTTTCCTAATCTGTAATTAAAAACAAACTGCTCACTGTAGGAAAGTGTTTTAGAAGCTGCTGTGTAAAAATTAACTGCACCCTGGTATTTACTTCCCATCCCGCTTGTAAATCATATTTTCCTGTTTACTTCGATTAGACTTTACAGTGGGTACTATTGAATCTGTTATTACAGGCCAGCTGGTGAGCACAGGAAAATGACCTTCTACCTTCTTCGAAAACAAGGTTCGTCCAAAGTGCAAAATCAGGGATGGAGAGGGGGGGAGTCAATGCATTTGTAAAGCTTGACTATTCAGGAAAGGAGGCGCGGGGGTGGGGGGTTGCTCAAGAGTTCTAGTGGCACTGGGAGACCTGCTTCATGCTCCAAAACCACATCAGTCTACAAACCATGCACCCCAACCAAGTGTGATGTGTTTAAGGAAGGAATGTCAAACCATTCCGCCTGGTTCTGGCTCAACAGCAGGGCCAGAAGAGCCCGCTGGCCCCCTGCATACTTGGATCAGGAGCAAGCCAGGAGGGGTACCCCTGGACTCACCCTTCAAAGGGGCCCCTTGTGCTGCCTAGGCAGGGGAGGCCTGATGGCAGCCATCACCTTTCTGGGTGTGAGCCTCAATTCAGTTCAAGTCAGGCAGCCACTGGCACAGGCCTGGGAGGTAAACTCCCTGCTTCCTTCTCTGAGGTGACTGGTAGGCTTACTGGTCTCAAACACAGGTCCTAGTTCAGCACATTTGGGTTGAAATTCCCATTCTTGAAACACACTATTTCTCTGTGGGGCTCAGTTTCTCCCTTGGTAAAAAAGAATTAACACTGCTCGCCCTTAAGGTATCCTAGAAAAGCAAAGATCAAGCCCTTTGCTTAGTGCCTGGTCCATGTGAGAAACCATAGACAGTAGATAATACTGTTAGTTTTATGGGGGAGCCTGGGAGTCCTAATCCTCTTTCCAGCAATGGACATCCAGGCAGTCATCATCTCTAGTTTGTTTAAATTCCATCAGCAGGGGCCTAGCTGTATTAGGGCCCATCCCTCTGGTGAAACTGGGAGACTAGTAAGAGCAGTGCTATGGAAATGTATTGCCGTAGAAACATGACAACCCATCTAGCCACAGCCCTGCATGGAGCTGCAGAGAGGATTGAGACAGCAATGGGCCTACAGCTCTTTCCAGTTCCATCCTCACTGCAGCCCCTACGAAGGACCAGAGACGGCAGAAGCAGCATTAGGGGTGGTACAGTGTAAGCACCTGAGTACCTGGGTAGTCACTAAGGAACCACAGGTCTGGAGAAGGAAGAAGCATGGCACTATCCCTGCCCCTGCAACTCTGGAGAGGCGGCACCGGACACATGCTGAGAGTAGAGGGAAGGGCAGTGGAGGGAAGGCTCAAAGGGGCCTCTGGCTGCCCACTCACAAGGGACTGATTACACAAGCTACAGCATAGCTGTGTGACAGAATACTGTGAGGCCTTTAAAATGGTTCTAATGAAGCTGTCAGAGCATGATGTGGGGAATGGCATGCACACTGGCAGCCATGTGCACAGGACACATGGAGGGCAACAGGACAAAGAGCTGGAAAGACCCTGAGCTCTGAAAGCCATGCTGAATCCAGACTTTATTCTATAGCATGGTAGCTCCCAGAGGAGCTGTAGCTGGAACTGGCTTCTGGGATCTGCTGGAGAGTTGTTCTGCCCCTTACATGGCTCAGCACAGTCCCTTGAGCAGGGTGTGACCTCAGCACACACTTCTGGAATTAGGCTAAATCACTGCAGCTTCTGTGAGTCTGGGTACGTTCTCAGACCTGGAGAGGCTAACACAGACCAGCAGAGCCTGGAGCAATCTGGAGTTGCCTGGGATTCTTTTGACCAGTGACACGGGTTTGACCAGCCTCATCAGGGGATGCTGGTGCCCTCCCAGGGACCTAGGCCAGTGTAAGGAGACCTCTTTCCAGAGGGAAGGGAAAAGCACTGGGGGGACTCCAGAAGGGTGAGTGACAAAACAGAAGCCTGGCAATACTGTCTTAGAAGCCACCTCTTGAGCACAGGGCCTGTCTGGCCTGGCTGGTTTTCTCTATGACCACATGAAGAACTGCTTCTATCTACTGAGCACTGCTGTGGTCTGTTCCCAGGGTTCACCTGTTCCCAATGTGGCCGTGTTAAGCGGGTGTAGGGCACAGTTAGAGATCATACATCAGGTCTTACAGTGGCACTGTCCTTTAGTAGATGTCATGGGACTAGGTAAATTTTCTTTAAAAAAAAAATTGTTATAAAAGCACACGCCTGGGCACACCCAGACTCGCCTGTCTCACCATGTGCTCTGTCCTTTTTACATACATTGTGACACCATCTGCCAGCACTTCAGAGCTGAACCAATTCATCAGCCATGGCGTGGACCCTTCCCTCTTAATAAAGTCTGATCTTCATAAAGTTACCCAGCCCCAGTATTTTATCATAGCAGCAGAAAATGCACTAACAAATTGGGCATAGTAGCTCATGCTTGTAATCCCAACACTTGGGAGGTGGAGCCAGGAGCACCAAGAGTTCAAGACTAGCTTCAATTACATCAGATCTTGCCTCAAACAGCACCATCTCAAATAAAATGGACTAACACCTACTAGTCACCCACTATGCTAGTAAAAGCTGCTTTACACACATTAGCTGTAAAATAGGCTCGTCTACCCCCATTTCACAGCCAGAGGAAGCAGCTCACCAGTGTGTAGGCTGAAAGTTGAGATCTGACCCCTGGAAGATCAATTCCCGAGCTCCTACCTTCCCCTGGCTGCCCACCTGTCCATCCCACATATGCCCTTCAGAAACCCACTTAGGTAGCTACATGACCTAGCAATCAATCACATTCCCCAGCATTTACCTGAAAAAGTAAAACATGTTCACCCTGTGCACAAATGCCTTATTCATAACAGCCAAACCAGGAAACCAGCCAAACGTCCTTCACTGGTGAATGGTTAAACAGTGGCTCATCCATTCCAGGGAATATCACTTGGCAGTAAAAGGAGGAGCTAGCTAGGCATGGACAAGAACACAATGACCCACCTAACAACTATTCTGAGGGGGGAAAGTGAATCCCCCAGGGTTTAATTGATATATGATATCATTTTATTAAGTTCTTGAAATGACAAAATTACAGAATTGAAGAAGAGCGGTTGTCAGTAGTTTGGAAGACGGTGTTGTCAGAAAAAGCAGCACAGGGGACACTGTGGAAGATGGAAGTGCTCTGACCTCCACTGTCCCATGTCTGTTTCCTGTTTCTGATGTTGGCCTTCCATCTTACAAGCTGGAGGAAACGTGAAAAACACCCACACTTCTGTTTCATTTCTTACAGCCGAATGAATATAAAATGACATAATTTTAAGCTAAGGTATTTTAGAGCATATGCACAGGATCAAAGGCAAACTTGCAGGAGCTGCCACTCTCCTTCCACCATGTGGGTCCTGGGAACCTATTGGGCCTGGTGGCAGGAACCTTCACCCACTGAACCCTCTCATCAGCCCCAAAACTAAAAATTTTCATTAAGCCGGCCAGTGGTGGTGCACACCTTTAATCTCAGCACTTGGGAGGCAGAGGTAGGCGGATCTCTGTTAGTACAAGGCAAGCCTGGTCTACAAAGTGAGTTCCAGGACAGCTAGGACTGTCACACAGAGAAATCCTGTCTGGAAAAAAAAAAAAAAATCAACAAGAAATGTTTTTAATTAAACCCCACTTCACATATACATGTCAAAACTCACATACCTAAATACTTTAAGAGTGCATTGTACTAGAAAGTTCTGGACATTGGTGTCCACACCCCTTTCTGCAAGCAGGGTTGCAAGTCACACTTCTCATCTGTGACCTTCACCTGGCATCTCCTCTGAGTCTCTAGAATTGTACTGAAATTCTCTATTGTCACTGCCCAGGCCCACCTTCCACCCACCTCACCTCCAGGACTTCCTGGGCAGTGCAGACAGAGGCCTCCTGCTCTGTTTCTACACCCCTTAAACTGCCCAGTATCTGAGGAGGGTTTCTCCTGGCTGTCACTCCAATGTGAACACGGGACACAGTGCACTCTGGCTCCTATCCCATGAGACCCACTCAGTGACTCACCTTCCCCAGGATTTCCACAGCAAGAGCAAAAGCCCACATCAGACTTTCCACCAGTCTCTGTTCTCACATCACTGTCAATGAAACGAGAGACTCCTTGCCCATCCCCAAGTTCTCACCCCAATGGTGCATTTGCATAAGAACAACCCAGAAGCTGGGCACGTGCTACATGCATATAACCCCAGCCTTTTAGATATAGAGACAAGGGCCTTGAAATCAGCCTCAGATACAGTGTTCCTCCAGAGAATGAACCACCTAAACTTCCCAGTGCTGTGACCCAGCAAGACCTCAAGGTGAGAGACAACCACAGTACCACAGCCTCCAACTCAGCTCTCTGAGCATCAACCCCAGGCAGGCCTCTCGCTTAACCTGCTAAC